GAGGAGGGGGAGGGGAGAAGAGGGCTTGCGTGGGGGGGGGGACTCGGGCTTCTGGGCCCTCGCCCTCCAGGAGATCTTTTGGGGACTTGAGGCAGCCACCTTAGGCCAGTAACAGGCGCCCCACCCCTCAAGGGCTTTGGGCCGCGGGGTGACCTTGAGTCTGCGGGTCCGCGCCACTCGCCCCACGCCCGGCTCCTTCAGCAGCCACCGAGCTGGTCAGCTCCCGAGCGCGCGGCCCTCCTCGGCCCGCCACGCCCTGGCTGGCCACGCCCTTCGAGGCCACGCCCCCAGGGGCCTGGGGGCCCAGCCTCGCCCGAGCCCTCGGATTTCCACTCGGCAGCCCGGGAGTATCCCAGAGGCGGGGCGGGGCCAGTGTTGACCCCGCCCCAGCTCCGCCCTCGCCCCCGCCGCGCGACACCGCTCCCCGCGCAGACGCGCGTCCTTTGTCTGGTCCCTGCGCCCCGGCCTCCTCCTTCCGCTCTGCCTGTCTTTCCCGATGTGTCTGTAAATTGTGTCTTTCTGGACCTCCTGGTCGAGTTCTGGGGACCACGGTGGGGGCTGATGCTCAGCACTCTCCACCCCTGGGCCTCTTCCCCCGTTACATCGTGGGTCCCGCCCACTCAGCTCTTAAAAGGCCACCCTCTCGTGCTCACAAGCTCATCTCAGGCCAGCTCGATGTCCTTGCTGCGTCGGAGCTGCTCATCCAACTCTGAGAAGTAGATTGTGACACACACACACCCCACCCCCGAAGTGCCCTTTCGACAGCCCAGCACCACCTAGGCTTCCTCCCATTGCTTCCAGCTGTAGAAAGGGAAAACGTGCACAAAGAGGAGAGGGTGTGGTCAGAGGTCACACGAGGGCCTCGGGGCCTTTGGAGGCCACTTAAACAGAGACCTATCCTAGGGACCCGCTGGGAGTCAGTGAGGTATACCCAGGCAGAGCCCAGAGGGGGAAGCTCAGTCCACACCAAGTGGGGGCCATCCTCGCCTCTCAGTGCCATCTTGTCAGTATGGCCTGTTGCTTCAACTGCTGGGGTCAAGTGGTCCAACACTGGGGGGTCTGTGCAGCAAAGTGACCCCAGGTGGGTTCACTGCAAACTGCACAGGCCAGGTGTCTGCACGGTGGTGTGCAAAAGAGCCAGAGGAGGCGGGACAGGAGAGGTGGCATGGGCAGAGATTGGGTAGGAGGGAGGAAAGAGGGGTCCAAAGAGAGCGATGGGCAGAGAGTGACACAGAAGGGGAGAGGGGAGGGAGAACTGAAAGGGAAGACTCAGAGGGCATTTGAGAGCAAGCCAGGGCTCTAGTGCTCCCAGGCTTGCTTCCTGCCTCTTCTTGCCTCCCCTCTGACCTTACCCCCCATCCCTGTCCATCCCTGTCCATCCCTCTCTTGGACAGCCCTTGAAGGTCCCTGTGATTTCCCATGCTGTGAGCTGAGCAGGGCATGTGTGGCTTCTGTCAATCTGATCCCCATTAACAGCTTAGCCTAGCCGGCTCAGCAGAGCAGGAAACATGACACCGATCCTTCTATCCCTCTATGCTCCCGCAGGTGGAAAGCAAGGAGACGGTGGTGGAGCAATCCCTGCCCTGACTCCCCAAATCACCTCTTAACCCCATCGAAGTTGCAAATGGGCAGGGGAGGTGGGCGACAGAAAGCCCATGAAAAACGTGCACCTGAAAGACTTGGCTCCCTCCCCTCACACCTAGTTGTTGTCAGTGGCTGTCAAGTGGGCTCCACTCTTAGCAACCTCACCCACCAACTGACAGAATGAAACGTCGGCTGGCCCTGTGAGATCCTGAAGACCGTGGTGTGTTTAGGGCCATTGTTGTGGCTTTCATGTCAGTTCTTCTCCAAAAGGGTTTTCCCTCATTTTTGCTGATTTTATAACCCATGGTGTGCTTCACAGAAGCCCCCAAACTAGAATTCGATGACCTGAGCTAGTGACTTGTGTAGTGATGTTTGCTTATCAGCCTTCCATAGCAAACACTACCAACTGATCACAGAACTCTTGTCTTGCTGAGCCTAGGTGGGAATTCATCTCCATCTAAACAGTGAGAAGGGTGACAAGTGGAATAAATGACCTGGCAACAGTGATCGAAGCCAGAGCACAAATTAAGTGCTCACTTCTATGATGTTTGTAATTATCAGTCAACTCTTTAGGAAAATAAGGCTGTCATACAAACCCTGGATTTGAATGTTCAAGCCTCCATGTAAACGCTGCAAGTCCCTGTCCTTCACTGAGATTTGGTTTCCTCATCTGTTAAATGGGTGGGGGTGGGGGATGGGGATCCTGTAACTTTCAACATTGCTAACTGCAAATGTTACACAAAGAGGTTTGTGTGGTGAGTAGCATAGCCGTGGCTGCTACTGACGTGTTGCTGTTAGGAGACGAGGGTGCAGGTCTACAGAACTGTGTTGTTTCGCCACCAGCACCCACGGCAAACATGGTTAATCAATCCGGCACTCGTTCCTGCTGAGCCTGGGTATGGCTTCTGAATTTCCCTCCAGGAAGACACTATTACCCAATTGGAGCGTCAGGGGAGCTGAGCCACTGTGGTTGCTGTTGTGAACTGCCATAGAGTTGGCTCTGACCTGTACTGACTTTGTGTAGAATGGAATATTACCTGGTCCTGGGCCACTGTCATGCTCTGACCTACTCTACCATCCCTTGGTGAAGAGTAAATGGGAAACAGAGATCCAAGGAAGAGTGAGGCTCACCCATCAGGTGGCAGAGCTGTCCCAAGGCATTAACTGTAGTGATTGACTCTCAGATCAAAGAGACCCAGATTTAAAATTGGGGCCACCGTTCATACCTCCTAATGTCTCTGAGCTCAGTATCCACACTTGAAAACTAGAAATATGTTCTCTGCCCTTTGAGCTTGTTGGGAGGAATAAATAAAAGTGCTTCATACAGTGCCTGATGCCTGATCAAATCAAAAACCAATTTACTGCCTTCCAGTCAATTCTGACTCATAGTGACCCCATAGGACAGGGTAGAACTGCCCCTTCATGTTTCTGAGATTGTAACTCTAACTTAGTAGAAAGCCTCATTTTTCCCTTGCTGGTGCCTGGTAAATATACAAAATCAGGGAACAATTATTAGCCAACGGTATTATAAGACAATAATGTCAAGCAGGACAAACCTGCTTCCATTGCTCATGGCAGTGTCCGTGCAGACATTACTAATCGATCTTGGAACCCTTTCCAGATGTGTCCGGGTATTGCTTTGGATCCTTGTGCGTGCCACTGTGCCAGTAGTTTGGAGTCTGTAGCAAAGTAGAGCAGAGGCCCAGAACAGTAAATGGCATGTCTGAAGACACACAGCTGGGAAATATTGGAGCAGAGCTGGAACTAGTCTTACCTGTCAGAGCCAAAGCAACCAACCCACTGTTATTTAGTCCATTTTAATTCATAGTGGCTCTATAGGGAACTGTAAATCTCTACAGAAGCATGCGGCTTTCTTTTTCTCCCTCAGAGTGGCAGGTGCGTTCCAACCACGGGTTTTTTGGATAGCCACCTGTATTAGTTGGAGTTCTCTAGAGAATCTAAATCTGTGTGTGATACCATGGGCTCCACCCCTGCCCTCACCCAGGAGTGTCTGGTTGATATAACCCCTAACCATCACACAGCCCGATGCTTCACCCGCTGCACCACCGGGTCCCTTTAAATCTGGGCTAGAGGTAAAGACAAGAAACAAAGCCTCGTGTACAAACCCTGCCCTTTTATTTGCTACGTGATCTTTGGACAACTTTTCAAGCATATCGTCAAATATCAATTTGGCGGGTGAAATGAAAAGAACAAACCAAAAACCTTAACATCCTCCCCCTACTTTTCAGTGTTGATGTGAATGAGAAAAAGGGAAATTGCCCCTCGGCAAAGGTGGCTGAGGTATCCCTGTACCTGCTGTCTAGGTAACCTCTGCTTTATGGCATGACAGACACCCCTAGTGACTCATGCAGATCTTTCCGGCCGAAGCCGGAGATGGCTTCCCAACACTTCTGGGTGCAAACCGCTAGGAAACCCCCGTGGACCGACTTTTTTCAGGTGCCAACTCTGCTCTGTGGGGGAGGAATCAGAAGATGCAGGCTAACTTCCTTCCCTGTGTCACAGCACGTCGGTTGGCTGTACGTTGGTGCCTTGGCTACTGCTGTGGTGCTGGAAGCGAAGCCACTGGGGTGTCAAATCTCAGGGTCACCCATGGAAAGCAGCTTGTAATAGAACTTCCAGACGACGACGAGAAAGCTAGGAAGAAGGAATAGGTGTTCTGCCTCAGAGGGATTCCTCACTGGAAACCTA